TTGCTAACATTGAGCCCTTGATGCAACACTCATTAACAACAACACTGCTTCACAGGGACCCACACAGTGACAAGACTGAGCTTTAATTTAATCTTTCACAGATGTTATTTGACCTTTCTAGGCTCAAACGTAACAGAATGCAAAACTGGCAACGAAAATGTTGCTTAATGCATCACAAATGCTGACTGTGAGGATGAAGACTGATGAAAGACTCTTGCTTGATCAGTGAGTTCAATCGTAATCAGCCTGCAGATATTCTGGACGTGGTGTGAATTTTTTTTATTTCTGCTAATGTCACCAGTTTTTAGTTATGTAAACTGAACACAACTGCTCTAAAGTACTTCTTTAAAGGGACATTTAATATGTCATTGGTTACTCCCCCACACCGTTCAAACCTGTATAACTAATGAAGACATTTTTAAAGGCATAGTTCACCCAAAAATGAAAATTACCCCATGATTTACTCACTCTCAATCCATATGACTTTCTTCTCTCAGACGAATACAACTGGAGTTATATTAAAAAATGTCTTGGCTCTTTCCAAGCTTTATAATGGCAGTGAATGGCTGTTGATATTCAATAGTTCAATAGAAGTCCAATAAAGTTGATGTGAATTGAATTGATGTGTGTTTGTAGGAAAAATATCCATATTTAAAACTTTATAAACCGTAATCTCTAGCTTCCACTTCCACATGAGAGAGTGCCGTTCCAGCTGATTCACTGCCATTATAAAGCTTGGAAGAGCCAGGACATTTTTTTTATATAACTCCGATTGTATTTGTCTGAAAGAAGAAAGTCATACACACCTAGGATGGCTTATGGGTGAGTAAATCATGGGGTAATTAAAATTTTGGGTGAACTATCCCTTTAAAGGTGGGGTAAGCGATTTTTCAAAAATGCTTTAGAAAACTGATTCGGGCCGAGTAGCAAAACAAACTTGTAGCCAATCAGCAGTAAGGGGTGTGTCTACTCATAATGTGGAGGAGAGAGCGTTCAGTGCACAGCCCAGACGAGAGACAGAAAGATAGAGATGGCAAAACAAACTTGTAGCCAATCAGCAGTAAGGGGTGTGTCTACTCATAATGTGGAGGAGAGAGCGTTCAGTGCCGAGCCGAGCCGAGCGACAGAAAGATAGAGATGGCGGATAAAAAAACAAAAGAGGAAATTGTCTGCGGAACAAAAGAAGGCTTAAGGCAAGAAGTAGGGCCCGTGTAAATATCGAATCAGCTTTCCAGCACTGGAGAGAACTCAAGGAGTGGAAGGCCTGCGATCGGACGCCGAGGTTGCTTTGTTTCTTCTCGATAGGTGAGTAACACCGTGTCTGCGCCCGCAACAGCTAAAGTCTGTCAAGTACACTGGACGTGACAAAGCGACCGTTGAAAATCATTTGAAATTTGTGTCAATACGTCATAAAAAGAACGCAGCAGCAGTTGTCTGTCGGGGATTTTTTATATCGTGTCGTGCCACGCCTCATCCAGTGTAGACCATAGATATGTATATATATCTATGGTGTAGAGACAGCATCACTGATTATAATGAGTTCTATAGTATTTTGTCACGCCGCACCACTCGCGTCCGGTGTAGACACGGTGTAACATTGGTTTTGCTTTGTTTCACAGAACTAATCGTTGCCTGGGTTGCTTACATATGTGTGAGGCGGAGCTATCAAAATAGGGGCGAGACCCTTTTGGGGTAGGGGCGTGTTTGTTTTGGTGATTTCAAATGTCAACATTGGCTACCAGAAATCGCTTACCCCACCTTTAATCAAACCAAAGAGATTTCTGTCCTTTCCATTTCCCTCAAACTTTCACAGTGCAAAAAGTTTAAGACATTGTAAACATAATCAATATGCATTGAGCAGTTTAATCCAAGTCTTTCTATGTTAATTAAAACATGACATTAAATCTGTTCATAATAAAAAGTGATTGCGTTTCTTTAGAAGACTTGGATTAAACCACTCAATTTATACGAATTATGATTACAATGTCTTTATGAACTCTTTTGAACACACTCTTTGCTGGCTCTAAATTAAGTGAAATCACTAAATACAATGTAACCAAATTATGCTCCTGTTTTGCACATTCACTGATATGCAGATGATATGCAACATGGATTATTTACAGTGTATGTAACCCAATAGTATCCAGCTGCAGACCCGCAGCACCAGCAGTTTCAGAACCGCAGCCACAGAACTGGAAGTGAGGGGGCGGAGCTTACGTTCTTAACAGAGTAGCGCCACCTTACGGTTTTTAAGGGTAATTTGCTTTTATTGCACACGATACGTCATACTTTATGTATGTATGCATTTTATAATGATATATTAAGCATTTTATAAACATTAATCTTGTGTAATTTAGTTGTAGGCCTATACAGTTATTCGTTTCATTGTATTATGCGAGTTATTTCCTGTTTGTGACATTAAAAATAATGTTTGAAACTTCTGGGCATTTTATATGAAATATACTTTAATCACAAGATTCAAAATAAATGTTTACTCCAAAGTCAAAAACACATGCATCATACATTTTTCTATATGAAAACTAAAACATTTCAATAAAACACACACACACACAAACAGCAGCATAATTTTATCCCTGCTCCTGTGCTTTACGGGACAGTGGTGCGTAGTCCTGGAGGAGTGTGGCCAACGTGAAATACGTTGTAGAGAGTTCCCAGTTAACAGAGTCCCAGACGGCTGAGTGACTCTCCCGGCAGCCCAGAGACTTCAGCGCCCGCTGATAGTAATCTATCGCCTATTGATGGAGAGAGAGAGAGAGAGAGAGAGACGGCTACTGTGATGCAGCTACAACGACAATGACCTTCTTCCTGGTCTTATTATGGATGATGAATTTTACACAAATTAATTTAGCAGACGCTTTTATCCAAGGGACTTACAAATGAGAACAATAGAAGCAATCAGACCAACGAGAGAACAACTGTATACAAGTGCCATGACAAGTCTCAGTTAGCCTAACACGGTACACGTAGCTAGGTTTTGTTTTTTTAATAATAGAATGGAATAGAATAGAACAGAACAGAATAGAATAGGTAAGTGCGTCCAGGAAAAGGTCTGTGAGAGTGATTTTGTGCCTCTTTGGGATGGCACCACAAGGCGCCGTTCACTTGCAGAACGCAAGCTTCTGAAGGGCGCATAAGTTTGAACTAGCGAGTTTAGGTATATTGGTGCAGCGCCAGTGGTTGTGGTAGCCTACTGGTAGCCAATGTAACCTGATGAGGAGAGGAGTAACCTGAGCTTTTTTTTTGGCTCATTGAAGACCACTCTCGCTGCTGCATTCTGGATCAGTTGCACAGGCTTGATAGTACACTCTAAAAAATGCTGGGTTAAATACAACCCAGAATATTTCTTAGACAGACAGACAGACAGACAGATAGATAGATAGATAGATTTGAGACATACCTCACAAGCGTAGCCTGTTATCCACTTGGAAGAGCCTCTTGTAGGGTTTCTGCACTGTAATATACATGTATCTTTGTTAATTTCAAATTGGTCAGAAGGGGGTGCAAATGTAATGGTGGGCTGGAGGAAATGTCCAGTACCTTTCAGAGAAAACTCCAAAGTTCTCCAGAAGAGTCCACCATCTCCGTGTGATTGGAATGTCACACTGGAAGAAAAATCTTTTTTAAATATCAACTGCTACAACATCATAAAGGTCAATTACTTTAACTGATAACTACTTATAGATGTAAAATCAAAGGGTGCTCCCAAGACAAGATGTACTGGAAAACAACAAAAAATAAGAATATTCTCCCTGTAAATGGCACAAAAAAACCTTACTTGTTCCTTATTTAACAACTAAATAATCACACCAATAATTGGTTGCAAAAATGTATAGTATAGCCTAAAATAAATAAATTTGTACACAGGTAAACTATTATGCAATAATAAATTGTGAGTACATATATTAAACAAACAAGTCAAGATGTTCATACCTCCGCAGACAACTGCCTTGTTGA